ACACACGGCGGGAACATAGTAAGAAAATCTTCAAGCTCAGGGCACACACATTCATTAGACAAAACATTTTTTCATTTCGGGTAGTAATGCGTGGAATGACCTTCCTCCGACGGTTGTACACGCTCCTTCTCGAACCCAATTTAAAGCACTATTAGACATTTATTTATGCGAATCCTCGCGCTGGCGAGCATACTGCCCCGCGCTGAGAACATAAAGAGCAGCGCTGCACCCTTTTTTCCACTTGTGCCTTTCAGGTGAACGACAGCCACTGACCGACAAGAACAAAACCGACCCGGGAAACTTGCGCGAAAGCCTCGATACTGTGTATCAATCCGTGAAATCCGTGATTCAATGCAGAGGTTTGCTGGTCCACGCTGTGCTCCTTCAACGCATTTTAAACAACTTTGCGAGTTTGCATGATCAATAATTTGGTAGCTTCGTGCGCATAAACTAAAAAAGGGCACCGATTCTCTCCCTTCGTATGAAAAAGGGTTCTGCCGTTGCAGTAGGCGTGCCTGTAACCAAAATCATGACCACGGAATTGATCGCAGATAGTAAGTTTATCGTTGTTCTTTTAAAGCAGATAGCACACACTACTATGTGCTCAGCCAGATGACATGTCCGCCGGTATAAAGACTTCTATATGGTTAGCTCCTACCGCCTGAAGCCCAACCACCCATTCAGCAAATCCTTTCTTGACAGGCTTCTCATTAACCGGCGCCTGACAAATGATGAAGTAAATGAGTGTAGTGCCGTTTTGAAGTAGGGCGAACCGTCTTCGGAGGTTCACCAATGGGTTGCGGATCATTTTGGATAGGTGCTGACTATCCAGGGCATTTACAACGATTGCGTCGGGCGACAGGCCATGTTGTTAAGTATTTCGTCGGTTGTATTTTTTGGTTTATTAGATGGCATGTCGATTACACCCAGACTTTGATAATGTACCCGTGTTCTGTTGGTGGAATAAGAGGGGTGAGTTTTAGGTGCCTGTGCTTTTTGCATCGTTTCGGTGTCTGCCGAATGAAGTAAACGTGCTATGCATGGGGGAAGCGTCTGGTTTAATGATACTGCCGCCAAATGCAAAAGCGCAAGCCACATGCGTTTTTGTGGCGCATGACATAGGCATCTGGGGCCACGCATTTTACAAACATCACTGACCAATTTTTCTGGATGAACTTTGCATTATATATCCTGTGTATGTTACCCATGAAACAAAACCGAAGAACTCCAAAATATGCGAATGGGTGATGATCCAAGACTTTGAAAATTCGCCCACTGAAAGATGCAAACGGATTAGACTAACCCCACGTAACAGTCACAAATTCAAATATCTATAATTTAGCGGATTTGAGTGTGCTTCAAGTGAGCAACCCGTGCCATGTAAGTGCAATAGCATGATCACATGCCTACCGAAAACCGCGATTGGGGATAAATTTAAGCGAATTCTGTCCAAAATAAATCAGTTTGTAATGGCCTCACGGTTTCAGCATAGATAGATCAAAATGAAATATTTTAACACAAAATATGGGTGTGATACACTCAAAATGAGTTTCGATTTTCTCCTGTGCAAGATTGCGAAGGCACTCTCTTGCTGTGTGATTCATTCACGGGGTCACGGATTCACGGATTGATAAGCAAGATCGAGCATTCTGCCCAAGTATCCTGGGTCAATCTTGTTCTTGTTGGTCAGTGGCTGTCGTTCACCTGAAAGGCACAAGTGAAAAAAGGGAGAAGAACTG